GATATTACATCTACAACTGTATTTGATATGAATGTGAATAGTAATTCCATATTAATGTAACTGTCATATCTGCTGCTATTATTTGACATCTTTTATGGAAAGTCTGTATTTTTTGTTTTCTGAAAAACTCCCCAAAATATCAGCATGTGCATATGTATATATATAGAAGGAAAGGAGAAAGGGAGGTGATTTTTTTTTTCATGATGCAGACCAAACAAGAGGACAGAGGGTCTGAATGATTCAGCTGTTCCCATGCTGTCTGGAGATCAGGAGATGTGCTGCTGTTTCCTTGCCAGATTTTTTGACACCAGGAATATGAGAAAGTATGTAGTCTTCATGTAGCTCTCTCTCAAATATTCAGCTCTTATAAAAAAGAATAATCTAGGACACAGTACATAAAATCAGGTATTTATAGGGATTTTTTCTCTTTGTAAACTGTCTCCAAACACTGTTTGATGCACTGCTCTCCCAAAACATTCCTGCACATCCTCTTTACTTCACCTCCCTTTGTGCAGAAAAGCGTCACCCCCCAACTAATTTTGATTTTGTGCCTCTTGAGAAAGGCTTTGGGTTCAACCTTACAGTTTTCAAGTACTTGCTCTCAGACACATGGTTTGCTGTATAACTAATGCTATGGGCCCTGTCTTTTAGCTTGCATTGATGTCATGTCATCCAGAGATTTACTCTTGGCTTAGGGGGGGAACAAGTAATTTCAGTGATTTACTTCAAGATTTAAAATACTCCTGTTTTCTATTCTCTGTAGTAAAGATTTACTTGCTAAATTTAGGAAACAGAAGCATTATGTTGCTCGAGGTACCTAGTAAATAATAAGAAGGCTGTGACGCACTGAAGCCATTCCTGAAATAACTCCTCTCTCCATAACAGACATCAGTGAGCTTAAGTGAATCATTCCATCTACCTCAACTGAAGTGCTCATTCAAGAACCAACAGTGTCAGCAGTCACTCTATTTGTATTTGTAGTCTCTCTTGCTCTGAGGCTGGTCTGGCACATTTGCTTTTACATTAAAAGAAATATTTATGTTTCGCTAAGTTACTTTTTCAACTCACAGACAGTAAAAAAGAGAAAGCGTTGGGGTTTTTTTCTATTGTTCTCTTTTGGTTTGGTCGTTTTTGGTCATTATAGGAAAAGTAAGGCTAAGAGCCCATACAATTAATATTTTTAAATGTGGCTCTACATGCAAATTCATGGAAAGTTTTCCAGAGCATCACAATGCTTTTCATTTTGGTTAAATTATTATCTCCCTTGAAACAACTGCTGACTTAAGACAGGGAGAGTGGTCAAGGAAGACAATGATTGGACCAAAAACTATGAAGATGCTTTGGACATGGAGTGCTGTTTCCCTCATTGATTGGCTTGTCTCAAAAAATATGTTGATTCTTCTGCCCACCCCTAATATCCATATTATTTATTCCCCTCAGCTTTCTACAACAGCATTGACTTGAATTTTAATTTCTCATTGTACCCAAGGACCCTGTCATATTCTAGAAGCAGGTATTTTAACATTTTCTGTGAGGTTACAAAGTCCACAGAAATAAGGAGCATAGTAGATCCTCTACCACTTGAAATCTTTAAACCATTTTAAGACCTGTTTTAGCCTGGGCTGATGTGGCTTTTGAGTCCCAGTCCTACAGCACACCTGTGCAATGGGTGCAGTACACCCATGGTGAGAAGAGACTCAGGGCAGGTCGATGGCACGGATACCTGATGGGGCTGGGCTAAGACAAGACACATCCACACACTCCTGTTTGAATCACGGCCCCACAGTTTCCATCCACCTTTGGAGACAGCAAGGAGAATCTGGCACTTTGAGCAGGTACAAGTTACTGTTGTGAAAGCAAGGGAAGGAGACACAGGAGGAACTGATGCAGAAGGAACTGATGTCTCTACTACATCAACATGTCAAACAAAAATGTGTTGATGAAAGTAAGATCTGGATTATGTAGAAGGCTGTTAAGATGATCTCATCTAACAGTGAAATCTGCAATCATGGTGTCAGTCCTAACAGTTTTTAGCTGGGGAGGATCTTGACAGAAAACTCTGTGTGTGCACATGTGATGCATATGCCTGCCTACACATAAGTACATATAATACAAAAAAATTAAAAAGAACATTATTATACAAAACAAGAACAGCATGGGTTATCAACATATACTAGTAAAGTGAGACTCTCTAGTTAATATATGCTGGAAAACTACATAAATGGCTAACAAATGACATTGTAACTCTCTCCTACATTTTTCAGGCTTGGCCCTAATGGTGTTGCACACCTGTCTCTGGACAAACCTGTAACAACAAATATGTTTACCACGTGTTTACTGTAAACATTAGGTACTTTTATAAAGCTAATTTCTCATGGGGTGAGAAGCTATCCAGATTCCATTCAGAATCAATGAACAGCTGAAAGGCAGAAGGAGACAAAGAGGTAAAGCTGGTAGTAACTGATAGTCATGACTAGTGCACTCAGTACCATTTCTGTTTGGACCTTCTGTGCTGTTCAAAGCTGTCATTGAAGGCATGGGGAAAGAGGTGATGGAGTTTGTGTGATCCGATTTTAAATTACCCAGTAAAATACCTGATGGTACTGAAAAATGCAAAGTGAGGAGAGTAATCCTAATTATCTATAACAGAACAATTAATTACTACCACTTTGGAAATAGCTTTTGAAACCATTGTGCATAGCTCTTAGGACTTTTCAAAAAGTCAAGTAAAATGTTGGGAATTTTTATTATTGGGAGTGAGAACAAAACAGAAAACATCCTTACATCTTTTGTATATACTATACCCACATGCTGAGTAATACTGACAGTTCTGCTACTTCAGTCCCAGAAACTAACACAGAATTGTTTGAAAAATTATAAAGAGAAACAAGAAGGATCAGCAACATGGAGACACATTCATCTTATATGAGATTAAATTAGGGAGTGTGATGGAGAAAGGAGAACATAGAATAATTACTTGCTCCAGTAACTGCCAGGAGACAGGAGAAAAACCGATAGTTTTCATTGATTGCACTGTTTTCCAAATGCCTTCTCTTGGTCCCTGCTGGAGGCAAAATGTCCAGTTAAATTGATGGTTTGATCAGATGCAGTATGTCTACTGTGTTGTTCTCAAGCGATGTTTTTTACATCGTGCATAATTCCTCTGTTTGGCTGCCTTCATGGGCATCTGGGGGGACAGCAACAATGAAGGGAGATGCCAAGGAAGGTCAAATCAGAATAGTCTGCTTTAAGGCAGAATCTCTTGAGTTTTAGGGAGCACTCCTATACAGCTAAAATGCGTAATGAATTATGAGTCTGATGATGACCTTCACCAGTTATATGAAATATGTATGAGCAATATTTCCATGTCCATCCTATGAGCTTGTAAAGGACAATTTTGCACTTCTTTCATTTTAAAAACAGCATCAATTTGTGGACACGGAATGATGGGAAATCACCGTCTCCATAATTATCATGTTTCCTGCTCACTGCTGCTGCCCCTGTAATACGATAATCAGTCATTGAGTTCTGATGTTGCCCAGTTAATTTTTGTACTTTGCCAGTATCTGTTACCTTAATTGTCATGGTAACAGATGGTTTTGGTTTCTTATTAACCTGTTTTAACACTACATTACTAGGAAGGGTAATGAAATAAATAGCAACAAAAGTGTTTCAATAATTTCCTGATGCTTAGAGACAAATATCTGGGTATAACACTTCCTTTTCAAAAGACAGACTTAAAAAAATATATTAGGTTTACTCAAAAACATGGGTTAAAAGAAAACAAGATGAGGAATTACAGAGTTTTGTTCATCTTTCTCAGATATATAGTTAATGCTTCTTATAAATTAGGGTCTATGAGTCAAAACTGAAAAGAATTTTTAACATAGATTTCATCATCAGTATAAAATATTAACTTTAGTCTGAAAAGTCACAAACTATTACTTGATCAAACAAATTATCCATAATAACAATCACATTATGCAAAGGCCTACATTATTTGTGCAAATGTAGTGAGGTTTTTTGATGATTAGGAAATCTAGATTATGTGCAACTGAAAGCATGTAGTTAACAATAAAACCAGAAGATAAGCACTTTTACTCTATACTGCTAAATGACTGGAATCTTCTACATATTTTGTAACATACTAAGCAGATTCACTATTAAAAGCTTTATCTCAGATCTACCTTAAAAAACTACCTTTTTTTACTGTAGCATTTAGCATTTTGTCAGCCAATATAAAAAAGACCTTAGAAAAGCAGTATGCACATATGGCATCAGATGCACAGAGCATCAGTGCTCTTCAGATACTACATTCTCCTGGGAATTTTCAATGTCTTTTGACCCAATTCAGATAGATTTAAATTCCATTCAATCTTGTTTTCCTAACTATCAAGGTGGTGTGGTTTTTTTTGGTTTTTTTTTTGTTTTTTTTTGTTTTTTTTTTTTTGCAAAGAGCAGTCCTTACTGATGTAAAATCATCATAATATCTAATCTGTTCCAGAAAATATTTTGTTAGCATATTGAAACCAGAAAGCAGTATGGTATTTTTTTTTTTTAACTACCAAAGATTCTGCAACTGATTGATAGTGATTATTCAGTGGAAAAGTTAATCTTTTCATGAAAACACCATCCAAAAAATCCCTTGGAAAAGCAACAGGCTTGGACTACAATCCCTGGAGCGATAAAAATGTGATCTTCTTGGCATCATTTCCACTGTGCAAATCAATTTATCTAGCTGCAGGTTTGAGCCCTAGCAGGGCTTGCTGCAGTGGTTTGAGGTTCCATCACCTATTTATTCCTCCTGACACCTGGGATGGGAGAATGTAATAAGGGACCAGCGGCACATGGCACAGCTCACAGTCTGTGAAAGAATCCGAGCCTCACCTTCAGAAACTAGCGCATGAAAGCTGTGAATTGCAAGGGTTGGAAATAGTTTATTTTGTCGAGTCTGCTTTAGGGGCAGTCATGCCTGGTGAGGAGGTGGGAGAGACAGCTGGCAATGGCAATGCCTTCAGCTGTGGCAGTGGGAATTTTTGGGACAGCCTTGGTACGAGCCTTGACTCTGACTCGGGGCTTGGCGGCAGCTTCATTGCTTTGTAGGAGTTGGTGCAGCTCTCAGCTGAAATGCCTGAGTCCTTGAGAGAGGACGTAAACGTTTCTATGAGGTGAAGAGAGACAAGAGTAGAAGTGAATGCCATGACACAAGACAGAAAAGTTGCATTCTTTCTGCAGCGTGCGAGGGTGCGAGGATATGGGCGCTGAATGGAAACATAGACACGCTGCAATACAACTTTATCGACGGTAAATGGTGTTAATTTAGCTCGTTCATTTTCTTTGGAAGGAGAACTAGTTTTCTAGGAGAATATAAATGTGGGGGGCGGTCCTAAAGAATGTGGCATGATGTCACTGGGGAAGCCAGCGGAGATGAGGCATACGGGGCATGGGACGGTGACGGAGAGTGACTGAAGCAACAAGGTAAGTTACAGAGAGCTGGCCCACAGGAACAGGGGTACCTGCTGAAGGCTGGCCTTGGAAGGCGTTTTACCCAGCAAACCCACTAGCGCCCGTGCCGCGGGAAGAATTTAACCCTGGCACGGCACGCGGAGAGGGGTCCCGGCAGGGCAGGGCAGCACCGCACCTCTCCCACAGCACG